CTATGAATTTACAGGAAGGCTACTTAGGAAAAAAAATCAGGACAAGAGTTTAGGACGTACTGGCAAATGATCCTGAGTTGGGTTTTACTCCTAACTGGCAGTGATCACTTCGGCTCCATTCAACCCATCTTGAATACAACTGATTTTTTCCCCCCGATTTACTAGATGCCTTATATGAAACGAGTTTGATCAGTTCAGTCCCATTTCCCAGGTGACAAACGGCCTGTGGCAAAAATTCCCTGTTTAGTGGGTGCTGAGTTTTGTCAGCAGGCTCATGGGAGAGGCCAAAGACTGTGGGAATGGGGAGAGAGGGCTGTAGTAAATTGGCAGGGCAGGGCATGAGGAAGAAGCGCGTCTGAACGCCCAGCTCGTGTAACAGTCTTTCCATTGACCGAGAATCTGGTTGCTAGGCTGCCGGACCCCTTTTACAAGCAGCAGAGTCATGCTATTGTTTCCTAGATGGTTTCAATTTTATGCAGGAACCTCTTTACATCCTTTCTATATCTTTTAAATATTTTACTAGGCGTGTAGTAAAGCGAGGTTTGGAGCATGGCCCCCTGCTCCACTCAAGTCGGTGAGCAAAACAAAGTCCTTCTACTTTATTCTGCCAAAAATTGAGTGTTTCAGGGTAGCCCTGTGAGGAGTGGGCTCACGTCAGCCTTCCATCTGGGCAAGCAATGTGCACTATGAGAGAAGGGGAGCATTGTCTTGGATTTCCCAGGTAGTAATGCAGACCCCACCTCGTTGGTAAATGCACTCATGAGTGAGGAATAGAGGGGAGGGAAAAGAGAGCAGGCAAATTTTTGTGGGACAGCAGTCCTCCACAGCACCTCAGGCCCTCCATGGGCGTACTCAAGAACTGAGGTCATCAGCCTTTATATTTTGACACCTCCAGTAAGCATAAAACAAGCTTAGACATAGCTCAACTTTGCAGTTCTTCTATAAGCAGGAGCAACCGAAGGAGTTAAATGAGCACATCTTTAATCTATCTTTATTGCTCCTACTGCTTAGAGAATCTGGTACTTGGGACACTTTATTAATGGAAAGGTATCTTTATTTTCAAGAACTCACAATCTTAACAGTATAGACAGAAGGTAGCTCAGTGTTTTCTGTAGGAAAATTGAAGTAACGAAAAACTAATAAAAGTCAATTTTTAAAATTCTGTATTTTGACTTTAAAGAGCTTCTCTGACTAATTGCAGTCTTCTGGACTTTTGCAAATAAGTTTCATTGTGTTATAAGCTGTTGCAATACGCAGTCTTCTCAAGCCTGGATGCTCTTTCTCCTCACAGCACCAACAAAACAAACAAAAAAAAAAAGCAGGACTTGAGAGATTATTTGCCTGTGCCAAACATCTACCAAATCAGCTAAAAACTGTTCTCTGGGATTTATACGCAAGTTTACTTGCAGTTTGAAATAGCTTCCTTGTGTTTGTCTCCTAGCTTACCATTTATGCAAAACAGCTTTGTGCTTTGGGGCAAGAGAGGCACCAGCAGTATATGTCCATCAGTAGAAACAGCTTGCCAGCAAAGTCCCCTCTTCTTAGCTAGGGACCCCCACTTTGAGCCTCTCATGCCTCTTCACAGGTATTAATATTGAAGGAGCCTCAGTGCTCCTCTGCAGGATTATTCTGACTTGTTTTCTGAAAATGGTCTGTTTCCTGCAGATCACTATACATTGGAAGAAAACATCTCTCTCTGACCTCTCTTCTAGTTGTTTCAGGGGAAAATTGGTCATCTGGAGAAATATGAAATCACAAGATACACCGGCATGCTCTTTCAGCTCCTTCCCTCTATATTACCCTGAGGAGTTTCAGAGAGACTAACTGGAATTCACAAATCCTGAGGCTGATGGATGTTGCCTGGATTTCTCTCTGACCTAGGTTAGCTGCCCTTCAGAATCTCCCTGTGATGGAGCTTGTTTCTGACCAAATAAAAGCAAATTTGTCTCCAGTTTATTATTAGCATTAGGTTCCCTTTTTGGTCCAGTGCTTCCTAGCAACCTGTGTGTCTGTTTGTCATCTGTTTTTCACAAGCTGTTATCACAACTGAAACAAAGTACTTGGTGAATTAACCAATACCCTGGAAAAGATAAGGACAGGAAAAATGGCTGAACCCAGAAAAGGCAAAAGGCAGCCTGCCACATTAATGCCATCCAAATCCCAAGGGCCAGCAGTGTGGGGTACCCAAGAAGGGTACAGGACAGGGCAGCTGACTGTGCTACTGGGCATGGTGCCACCCAGCCTGATTCTGGGCTAGGTACCCTCCCCATGGGCTGCAGCAAGGGGTGTTCAGTGCTGACTGTCCTACCCTGTTCCCTTGGGTATGTCACTGCTTCCCCTCATAGAGGAAGCAATGAATGGGTTTTTTTCTTCAAAGTTCTGAACTGAGCTTGGGCATCTATTTTCCTTCTTGGAGTGTCAGTTTCTCCACTCAGCATCATCCATTCCCCTGGCTTGGCTCCCGCTGGCTTGATTCCCTCTGGCTTTTGGGGGTCCCAAACCTGCAGCATCCGGAAGCCTTTCTCAGTTAGCAGGGACATTATTAGCTGTTTCAGGGGCTCTTATTCCTACCCCCTTGTGCTAAAGTTGCTCAATTTTAACAGTGAGTGATGACAGACTAATGAGGCCTGAAGGAAAGTCAGGCAGTGCACAACTGAACAGGGGCTGGGGCACTTGCTGGGCAGAGCAGCTGCCTCCACAGCTATTTCTGTATCAAATAACCATTGCAGGGACTGGAGTCCAGCCTTTTGCTCTGCCTATTCACAGTGTTAAATCCTGAGCTGTCTCTGCTCTGCCCAGCCCTGCCAGTGTTTAATTATGCTGTCTGGGGCCCAACAGATCCAACGTGAGAGAATGAACTCATCCTCCTCCCAAACAGGGACTGAGGTGTGCCTGTCCCTGAGGAAAGGGCTGTGTGGGGCATGAAGTTTTGTGTGCACAGAATCAAAACAATAAGATGTTTCAACATGGTTGGTTGTGTCCCTTGGTGCAGAGGGTAGAAGGGAGCTGGTCCCTCATCGCCATCCCTCTGTGTTGGTGCTCCCTTTGCACAGTGCTCTCCCTGAGCATGCCTATGGCACAGGGCTCCTGCTGGGAAGCACACAGCAGGATACCAAATTAGTTCATTGGGACAGGATGAACCTCATGGCCTCAGAACTGCCTCTTCCTAAAAGGGCTTAAGACAACACATCATAAAATCTGGATATTTGGGAATCCCTCCATACTCCCATGCTATCCTAGTAGTCCTTTTACAGGTTTTTTCTTCAATATAGAAGTATTGGCCTCATGGTGATGAAGACACTAGGACATCTGTTATTTCTACAGGGATAGAGAAAAGTAATACATTCACAAACCTGTCAAGAACCTGCCTAAAATAACATTTTTCCTGTATTGAGAATGGCACAGTCTTAGGATGTGATGTAGTGAGGTGTACATGCTCTTCTGCCTCTCTTTGGGACTAGCTCACATAATTCACTTAGTTGTAACATCCATGAGTGATGAACCTTTCCCACTCTCATTTTGATATAAGATTAATACCATTCCAATTTGCATTTTGTATCTTGCAGACAAGTGCAAAGATTTTATTTCAGGTGACAAAACGTTATGCATAATGTTATGTATATTGGGCTAGTTCTTAATTAGATGGCATGATCTTTGCCTGAAGTTCATGATTTATTTTCATGTTAAACTGTTTTAAATAAAAAAATTAAAATAAACTAAAGGGTCTTTGCCATTTCCCAAAATTATTTTCTTGCTTATTTTAAAATCAAGTAGTTTTGTTGAGCTATGGTGCCTCTGTGGTTCTGGGTAAAGATTTAAGAATTGCTACAGGGATGAACTGAATGCTGTTATGAACGGCATGGAAAAGCATGAAGAGTTGATCAGTTCAGAAATCTCAAACCAGTCATTGCTTACATAGGGGCAGAATTTATAAAGGATTTTTTCTTACATGTCTGAACCTTTCCTTAACACTTAATTTACTTCCCAAGCTCACATGGGTTGTCAGGAAGGCAGGCAAGAGAAAACTGCCCATACTCTTCTGCTCCCCCATCCATTTGCACTTGTCGGAAAGATGTTCTCTAGGGAAATCCAGGAGCTCCCCTTTGTCCACCAAAAACCTGTAGGTTTTACAGTCCCTCCCTGGACTATGGCCTCATAAACATGCCTTGAAAGACAAGCAGGTGCCCTGCCCCCATTTTACAGATGGCTTAACAGGTGTTGGCAAGTGCCATTAGAAACAGAGCCCTGGCTTAAGTGTTTGTTCACAGCATAGCCCTAAAATGCTCCTTATTCATAGCCAGGTGGCCCCACAGATCTGTCTAGTCATGCCCAGATGTTTGCTCATGCTGGGGGCTTCCACGCTGGGCAGGGAGCTCCAGGCTGCCCTTGGCCACAGGTGCACCCCTGCTCCCAGCCCTGGCTCCAGCAGCACAGCCATCCTCCATGGCTGGGAGGATCTGCTCACACTTTCCATGTCTCATTAGCTGGGATCTGCAACACGTCTAGGGTTTTGTTTAAAGAAAAAAACTAAGAAAAAATTATTTTAAAAGTTACTTGAAAAGAGTATTTAGTTGCAAATTCAGTTAGGGAGTGACTAGGGAGTAGCTGTCTGAGAAATATTAGTTCAGCTCATTTGTGCTGCTTGTTCTCCTCATTTCCTTATCCCTTCAGGGAACGGCATGGGCAACAACCAAGATCCAGTATATGAAGAGTAACGATGTTCCCTGGCTATAGTTGCAACTCAGATAAAAATTCATAACATTCAAATGTAATGCCATGCAGGAACAGAATAATTCATGCCTTAAAGTGCAATATTTGTATTGGACAGATCATGTTTAATATGAGATCTCCCAAAACGTTTATATTTGCATTGACAGCCTGTCATTTTTCTAACGTATTTTATTTTTGTATGCAGTCTGTACATATGAAATGCCCCTCTTTTCCCCATGTTCCCTTTTGGTTAACAGGCTGACTCACGATAGTGATTTGCAATATTACAGGCAAGAGAGGATGTGATCCACATGCTGAAGACAGAGAAAACCAAACCTGAAGTTTTAGAAGCTCATTATGGTTCTGCAACTCCAGAGAATGTGCTTCGAGTGCTACACAGGGATGCCATCCTTGCCCAAGAGAAGTCTGTAGGGGAAGACGTCTACGAGAAACCGATTTCAGAGGTAACAACTTCTTCATTGACAACATTATGTCTGTGCAGGGGGAAGCCTAACCAGAAGTGAGACTCCATATATTTTGGATGTATGCAAAGCATGCAAGAGGATAGCACAGAATTTGTCCACTGAAAATAACATCTTGTTCACTCATATTCAGAATAATTTGTAAGCGAAGTCACTGGATTTGAACACAAACCATAAAGATGTTGTATGCTTCTTAGGGTTGTTACTGTTAAGCAAGACCAAAATCTTTGAGTGTTAAATTTCTAGTTTTTAAATTCCTTTCAATTACAGACTTCAACCCCTACTGCTCACAGCACTGGTAACTACTCCTTGATTTTCTTGGCATACTGGAACACTGTCATGAGGGTAGTTAAGAAAATAAGACCTTTGGAGATTGACTTTGACCATATTTATGGGATATATTTATGGGATAATAAATCTGTATTCATTTTACATCACTTAAACTCTAGGATTGCTAAGTCAGTTCAGCCCCTAAAGGAGACTTACAGGACTCCTTACTTTAAAATTTAAGCAATAAATGAATGTCAAGAAGACCTGAGAATTAGAGTAGACCTGAGAATGTCTGAGGCCAGAGTGAATGCCAAAATAAACAGCCATTGCTCCTGTTCATTGTTTCATAACACTCCAGGTCATGGGGAAGGAGCATGCAACAACAGAGTTCATCCAATTAGAATATTTAATTTGTTCACCAGCAGTTCTGTCTGCCATGGGATATCTTTGTACTGTGTATTCTCATTGAAGCACCTCCTGGAATTTTTGGGATGTTAGTAAATAAGGAAACCAAAACGTAGTATGTGGGAGCATACATAAAATACTCTCAAACAAGATTAAAAGAGCTTAGCAAGGCTTTTTTCACAAGAAGCTGGTAATTTGACAGGATTTCAATGTAAAACTTTTGTCATGTGCAGATTCACAAGGCTTACATTGAAATAAAATAGAAAAAATAATTGCAAAAATGTGCTCTGCAAAAAGCTGAACCCAACCTGGCTCTTCTATAAAATGCAATGACTTTTTCACTTTGACTACTATGGTCAGCTTCTGGAGAGCAAACTGCTATGGTGCTCCTGCTCCCTTATTTCTCTCAGTTTACTGAGACATGCTGTGAAACAACAGCAGCCCAGGGCAGCTGGGGCTGAGGAAGATGAGATTCTCACAGGGTAAGGGCTGGGAGTGGGCAGAGCAACCAGACAAGTACCTAGGCTGAGGGCTGCTTTGGCAGGGAGGAGGCTGGAGTTGGTCATCTGCACCCAAGGAACAGCAAAAGGAGCAACATGAATAGCCATGGTGAATTTAGAGTGCCCTGGCAATTTTTTAGACACACCTTGCTGGTTTTAATGTTTGTTTGAATAAAAGTTGGCATATTAAATTAAGAAAAAAGTGCAGAAGACAAAATGGGTAAAAGATTGTAAATAAATAAAGAGAATTTTTGTCAAAAAACAGGCTGACAGAAAACTCCAGAGGCTTATATTTAACTGCATTTGGTTATGTAAAACTGAATCTGGACAGAATCTAAATAATTTGGATCTTTTATCTCAGCAGACTTAAAGGTGTGTTAAAGATGTGTAACTCAAGTTTCAGCCTTCAGATTACACTTTATGCTCCACATGCAAGTGTCCAGTCCCCATAGAGGTGTGTGAATTCAGGCTCCCAGGCTCTGAGTTCTGAGCTACAGCTTTTTCCCGGTGAAATGAAGAAAGCGTGCACAGCACCTTACCACAGGGGAAATACAGCACTGCAACAATATTATTTGTTACCCTAAAACTAAGTGAAATTCTGTCCTTTGTGTATCTGAAAACTGTGCAAATGTTTATTGCTAATATGTCATCCAAATAAATCGTTACTTTCACGGGGCAGTTATTCTTACTTCTAGTCACTGCTTTATGTAAAACCCAAGACCTAAAATTATGGGACTTGCATTTACCAAACACAACATTGTTGGTCAATAAATCAGATGAAGTAAGCAAGGAGACCTTTAAAACAGTCTGTTCTCCTTTCCTACAATCCAGCTGGACAGACTTGAAGAAAAGCAGAAGGAGACGTACCGGCGCATGCTGGAACAGCTCCTGTTGGCAGAGAAGTGCCATCGCCGCACCGTTTACGAGCTAGAGAATGAGAAACATAAACATACTGATTACATGAACAAGAGCGATGACTTTACCAACCTCTTGGAACAGGAGCGGGAGAGGTGAGTAAAAGACCAATCCCAGTGTCCCAGTGCTCATCCCTTCACCAGTGACACAGCCAGGTATTTTCTGTGTTTAAATGACACTAAACTTACGTGTAAAACAACTGTAAATGTCGGTCCACTTATGTCATTTGTAAGTACGTTATTGTGCAAGTCTGGAGCTGGATGAATACCACTGAATGTTCCTGTAGTGTGAGCTTGACTTAAGAAACAAATTTGTTTTGAATTAGTCATGCCCATTTTGGGTTCACCTCCAGGTAGCTTTTGATCAGATGTTACTTATGTTGGCTAAGTTTGGGACTGGCTTGCTTGTGAAGGACAGAGTACTGTTGTCACAGCAGGAGGGCAAGGCAGGGAAAACCACAACACGCATCAGGATACTGGCACACAAGTGGTGGGACTTGGCCATGCCCTTTGCGTTTAGGCTTGCAAAGTCACAAACCATTTGCATTCTTTTTCATATTTTGAAGACGCATGCCTCAGGCAAGTTATCTGGAAGAAAATATTATCATGCATTACAAAATGTGCCCAGCCTGTGATGGACTATCTACGGTGTTTATCTCACAGTTTCATACACCCCACATTTATTTTTTTTTTTTTTTGAGTGTTTATCCTGTTTGTTGGACAACTAATCTGTTCTGTTTCTAAGAAAAGAAAGATCACCTCCCTTAGCTGAAGACTGAGCACTCAGTAACACCCTCAGTTTTTCAATAAGAAATGCTTTTTCTTATAACAAACTGCTTGAAATTAATCCATGTTGTGTTTCTTTTTTTTTTTTTTAAAAAAAAAAAAAAAAAAAAAGGCTCTAAGAAAAATACTTAAGGCAAGTTCAAAGAAGAAATGCTTTTGAGGAAACCACAGGCTTGTGGCAGACATTTGCAAAAAGCCAGGAGCAAAACTGTTTAGTGTATTTCCTGAACTCAGTTCAGCGCCAACTTTGAGTAGGTGGCACGTGAGCTACAGTGACCGTATTTCCTGGTTTAATAGGTTTTGGTTTTGTTCTGTCTTTACTTTCCTGGGTTGATTGGCAAACTTTAAAGAAAAAAAATGCTTCTGCATCTTAGCAAATTGATTCTCACAGTAGAAAAGAAAAAAATGTAAAACCACATTTAAAAAAAATATGTTTTAAGAAATAAAAGATGTTGTATTTTCAAGTAAGGAGCAACTTCACATCTGATTCTCATAGAAGACATTTTGTCTCTATGTTGAATATCCATGTATATGTGGACATGCAGCCACTAAAATGCTACAAAAATGGTATTAAAATACCATTTACATTTGTTCTTACATTTTAATATTCACATTAATTTGACAATTGTTGCCTTCTTATTATTCCCTCTAAATGTGTGAAAGTCACTAAATAGTCTACTATTATGACCTGGGTTGAATTGACTTCCTTTAATGAGGTGATTAAAGAGCTTTCTGTCTTACCACTAAGATATCATGTCCTGTATCTGTGGGCATTTCCTCTTACCCTTCCTGCTCTCTCAAACTTCAAGTTAACACCAGAAATCTGATGTCTGCTATTTAATCCACTTTGTCTATGACACTAATTTGTTTCAAGATAGTAGTGACCAAGCAGAGAGAACATGATGTGCAGCTAAACATAGAAAACCAAGATGCATGTACCTCCCTCTTCAGGTTCCTCCTCTCAGATCACTTGCACAGCAGATTGGCAAAACCAGGATGGGCTAGAAACCACATGCTAAGCATCAAGCCTTAAACTATCTCAATTTCTTACCTTTGTTTTCAGAGTGCACATGAAACTGAGGCTGCACCCATGTCTTTGTAGATATTAAAAACTAAAAGTAGTATTGTTTGACAGCTATATTCACAAAGAAAGAGAGGGTGACAGGATGACTTCTTAGGAAAGCCCCAAAGTGGCAATAGATTTTTTCAAAAAGAAAGAGTTTGAAGTGGAAAAATTAAGTTGCAACAGATTAAAGCATACAAGAAACTCATACTCAGTCTACATATTGGGACAGAGAACTGACCTGCCCAAAGGCATTTTTCAAGGTCCTGCACAGGCATTCTTGTTTTATAAGTATCACTATACATATAATTCATTTTACTGTGGTACTTTGAGGGTTATTTTATTAAGAGCTGAACAGACTTGTAGTCTCCATGAAAACGAAAAGGGACACAGAGTTGAACTTTGCCCGTCAGCCACTCTGCTTCACTCGCAGTTATAATGTTAATGAGACAGGGTGAGCCAGAGGAAGAACAGTGCTGCAGGATGGCCATCTCACAGCAGTCTGCTACAATGAGAGAAGTAATAATTTCTATACTGGCTCTAAATAATTTCAGCAGTTTCTTTCCTCACAGTATTTTATCAATCTTCCCTAACCATTTTTGTCTACATCAACTTTTGCAGGCCACGTCTGCTTTTATTCACGTCTTGTGAAAGTTTGAACAAAGCAAAAAGGGGACTCTTTAAGAAAGAAATATGCCTCAGTTCTAACATATGTCTAACGCTCTCTTAATGTATTTACTTTGGAATATTTTTTACATGCGCTTTCATACATTATCTCTAATCCATCTGCAATAACATGATATGAAAGCAAACAGTTCCAATGAGTGGCTAATTATTAGGCCAGCCTCATACAGGAAGGAAGTAACAGGAAAACATGATTTCTCAAAAATAATGACACATGAAAAGTATGAAAAAGAGAAAATTGTGCACTGGGATATTCAAAATGCAGACAGCTGGGAACGTGGGGGTAAATGGAGAAGGCTGAAGGGCCTCACTGTTGCTGTTGGCTCTGCCAGACCAAGCACAACTGTCCTGAAGCAAGATTGTGAAAAAGGTTTGCGTGTTACAGGAAAAGAATAGTGATGACCATTTTCAAGGTGGAGATGAAAGAAATCTGGTACTTTTAGTGGACAGTGCTTCTACGGCATGGTGGCTGAAGCATTTTGCAAATTTCCCTATAGTATGCTATAATAGTATCTAATGAGGTTTGAAAGTTATGGACTTACATACATACATACATACAATAGTATTTTCTATTTTTCTATGCAATCAAATTTCCCTTTTCAATGCTTGCCCACTTCTGCTGCAGTTCCTCTAACATCAAGTTGTGCTTGGGTATCTCTGACTCTGGGGAATGCAGAAGCAGATATCTTCTTGGAGCCTCCTGAGGAGGCTGAGGAATATGGAGAGGAGCTGAAGGCCCCCAGGCCACCTCAAAGACTTGGATGATAGATAGTTGTGTGAGGAGTCTCTGGTCTGAGAGGTGGAGAATGAAGGGTCTGATCAGAACTGCATTGATGCCGTGGCTCTTGGAGAGCAGCAGAGCAGGCGTCAGCAACCTCAGGGATAAAATTAGTCTTCCCAGCACAGGCACCCTCGTGAACTTCAGCTGTGCTTTGGGGAGGGAGCTGGTGGCGTGACTTTGGGCTGAGCTGGGCACAGTTAAACCAGCTATTAGTACTTCATGACCCCAAAAATTCTTGTATAAAGCAGGCTTAACATGAAATGGTACTTGGCTGTTCTCTGTGCTGCCTAGTCCCAGCCCTGCTGCCTTCCCTTTTAGGGAACTGGGGGCAGGGTTGGGGGGAAATCTTTAGTTTATCAAATATAAACTTTTTCATTTGATCAGCAGGGCTTTTTTCCTGGTGGAAAAGGGTGGAGATCTTTGTAATCTCAGCATTTCTTTGACGTTTTGATTTACCTAGGAGATGAGGTTTAAAATGCTGACATTTTTAGAGGTGCTAATCTCTGAAAATTTTTTCTTGTACCCTTCTTTTAATCCTGTTGGTTGACAGCACATTTTGTTCCTATTAAAAGCACTGGAATGCTCCCATTGATTTTAAAAGTTCAGAAAGAAGCTTGAGGTGAAGACCACTGAGCCAGTCCTGCCATCCAGAATGGATAGAAGAAATAGCCTGAAAGCCTGCAAAAATGGGAGGAGGAGGGAATTTCTTTTATATGGATGAGATGAGGGTTGCCAAACAGAGGGTGTGATGTGGCAGAAAGGCTCTGTTGGAGCTGTTATGGGGGATCCATCTGTGTACTGCTTTGTGAGCCATTTGATCATTTCCAGCATGATCCCTGAGACTGCTGACACTCTGTCACGCCCCCCCCCACAGTGATCAGGAAATATACACCCAGTATCTCAGCGTCGTCTGTGCTAAAGGAGAGATATGTTTTATTTTAAGACTTCACTGAAGTGATGAGGATTTAATATTGGTTCTTGCTTTCCTCAGTGCTTCAAATTATTCTTTTTAACTACTGCAAGTGTTCTCATTGCACTGAAGCATTTCACGTTTTCCTCAAAGGCAAGGCTGAGGATTCAGTCTGTACTTCCTAAGCATTGCCCTGCTAAATCTGGTTTTAGTTAAACCCTCTTTTTGAAGTACATGGCCATAATTAGATCTGCCTAGAGGAGACAGCAAGACTGTGACCCCAGCTCTTTCCTCCACAAAGTTCCCTTTCAGTCTTCACGTAAAATTGTCTCCTCTTTGCCTTCCCCATTGCAGCACCCCCAGCAAGGAATGCACTGGCAAGGCCCTCGGAGGTCTGTGATAATACATTCCTCTGGACTTCAGTCATGCTGGCACCGAGATGCTCTTGGCTGCTCTGCTGGTGATGTAATTCTGGGCCCACATCACCTGCAAAGGAAACTGATCTGTGAGCAATAAAGCACACAGCCCTCTTGAAACAAAAATGGGAGTGTTGATGTTAACAAGTTTTCAAACTCCCTTTTCTCCACTTCTTGCATTTCTGCTTTTATTACCAAAGCTTCCCTTCTCCCTTTTCCCACGAGACGGCAGCACCAAGCCTTCCACTTGGGAAGTGCTTGCCTTTTTGTTTCCCTGTATTTCATGGATCCAAGCAAGTGTAAAGGCTGGAGTGTGATATAAATTGGAGATTTTGTGTGTGTTGCCTTTCCAGTTTGTGTTTTCCCTCGATTTTTATGAAGACTGTAAAAGAAAGGAGCTGGCAGGAAGACAGCAGGGCAGAGTATCCATCAGTCAATTACTTGTTTAGAGAACAA